GCTGCGCTTTCACTTTCTCGCGTGGCTGAGTGCCTGTCTCCCTCGGGCGGGGCTGTCGGCCCCTGAGTAGGGGGGCTTCTCTCTGTCTCCTCTGCCCTGGCTGGGAGGGGGTCAGGGCAGGTGGAGTGTTTGGAGGAAGCCCCCCGGGGAGGAGGGGACAAGAGTACAGCAGCCGTTGCCCACCCCATGCACGTCGTGGCTGACTGTGGCACCCTAAGACATGCCCACGTCCTAATCTCCAGAACCTGCGAGTGGGACGCTATTGGGGAAAAGGGTCTTTGCAGAGGTGAGTATGGATTTTAAGATGGGAGTAGATGGGTGGGCCCCAAACCCCATGACAAGCGTCCTTCGGAGAAAAAGGAGAGACACGGAGAGGAGAGACCGCCCGAGGACGGCGGCAGCGACTGGAGTCCAGGAACGCCTGAAGTCCCAGGAGCTGGAAGACGCAGGGGAGAAGGTGCCTCCCTGGAGCCTTTTTATTTTTCTTTGTGAGTCCAGACCTCACTCTGGCTGGAGTGCCGTGGTGCAGTCATGGCTCACCGCAGCCTCAGCCCCCTGGGCTCAGGCGATCTTCCCATCTCCGCCTCCTGAGTAGCTGGGACTACAGGCACGCGCCACCACGCCTGGCTTATTTCTGGATTTTTTGGGTCTCGCTGCATGGCCCAGGCTGGTCCTGGGGCCTTCTGAGGGAGCGTGATGGCTCGGTCTCCGATCGCCGACCTCCAGACCCGAGAGGATGAGTCCTATTGTTTTAAGCCGCCTGGTGTGTGGCCATTTGTCCTGACTGCGTGGACAGGTCAGGTGCAGCGCTGTCCTGGGTGACCCTTCCTTGTGAGTGAGGGCGATTTTGTGAGGTCTGAGATGGTGGCCTTGTTGTCCCCGCCTGCAGGGACAGGACACTTCAAGGGCTCTTCCAAAGTTGTGCAGCCCTGAGTGGCAGATGAGGACACTGGACCACTTGTCTGTGTGTGGCATCAGTGCCATGTTGCCCTCCCTGTCTCTTCCTGAAGCACATGGCCCACTCACGGATCTAAGACTTGGGGTGTTCTGAGGCTAAGGTGGGAGGATTGTTTGAGCCCAGGGGTTTGAGACCAGCCTGGGCGACTTGGCGAGACCTCCTCTCTATAAAAAATAAAAAAGTTAGCCAGGCATGGTGGCGCGCACCTGTAGTCTCAGCTACTTGGGAGGCAGAAGCAGAAGGATCGCCTGAACCCAGGAGACTGAGGCTGTGGTGCGCCATGATCGTGCCACTGCACTCCAGCCTGGGTGACACAGTGAATCCTCGACTCAAAGAAAAAAAAAGAAAAGAAAAAAGAAATGTGCAATCTCAGAAGAGCTGTTCACTGTCCCCAGGAATGGGCTGACCTGGGAGGGGTCGTCCCTCCAGGGTCCCAAGACCACGGATGCCAGAGAACTTCAGAACTCAGCAAACAAGACCTGGCGAGCCCAGGGGCCGATGGGAGGGCGATGGCCCAGGCCTCTCCCTTCCTCCTTTCTGAGTTGGGGGCATGGCCAAGAGGGAGGGGCTCCCAGGGGGCCACTGGCTCCCTCCTGCCAGCAGGGGACCAGGGTCCTGGGCTGGAGGCTCCTGCTAGGAGCCTGGCTTGGCTGCGTCACCGCTGGGCTCCTGCCAGGCCGTCTCAGCCCTGAGAGCCTCAGTTTCCCACAGGGTATTCGAGGAGTTTATGCGGTATCGTGTATGTTACCTGTGTGGCCCAGCGCCCACCCAGAGGCCGCGCTTGGCAGGGGCCAGCTTCTATGGCTGGTGGCACCCAAGAGTTGACAAGAAAAACGCTTCTTCCGTAAATCAACCAGGCCAGCCGCTCCAATGGGGGAGCAGGATGGGGGAGGAGGGGAAGCAGGATGGGCAGGGGGACTCCCCACACCCTGCCCTGGAACTTTAAGGCCCAGCCACTCCGAGCCTGGTGCGTGTGTGGGCACTGATGGGCAGGGGAGGGGTGTGTTTCAGAGGAGAAGGACCCAGGGTGGTGGAGGAATCACGCAATTTCTCGGGAACAGTTTAGACTAAGGCCACCTCGTGTTGGAAGTGCGACCTCTGGGGTGTTTTCCAGCTTCTGAGATCATGAAATAGCCGAGGGGTGAGCGTGGCCTCCCGTGGGAAGACACGACCCAGCAAAACACTGATTTACAAAGTCGTACGGAGCACTGGGGTGGGGTGGGTGGGTGCGGGCGTTCCCGGGCACTGGTCCCCGCCTGTCCTGCCCCCTGTCCTCACACACACAGGCTGGAGCCCAAGTGGCCCTCCTGGGCCCTGAGGAGGGAGTGGGTGACAGAGGCTCCCTGGAATGTTGGCTGTCGGGGGCAGGACCTGCTGTTCCTGGGAACTCGGTCCTGGCTAGACCAGCCCTGGTGGGGCCCGGGGGACTGGGGTGGGTGGCTGGGCTGGACACTGGCTCTGGCCCTCAGACCTTGTCCCCCTCGGACCCCAGTCTCCTCCCCTACCTGGCCTGACTCCAAGCTTTGCCTGAGGCTGGGGCAGAGGCTGCCTTTGAGCCGTTGGACCCCAGGGCCCTGCAGGGTAAAGGCATCAGGGCTGGCCTGGCTTGGACGGAAGCTCAGCAGCCCACTCAGAGGACGCCCCATCGGGTCCCAATGTTCTGAGGTCTCTGGGGGCTGGGGGCTGAACTAACAGGTCTGGGGCCAAGGGGACATCCCACCAGCCTCCTGGGCCATCAGGCCACCCACCTGCTGCCCCATCCGGGACCGGGATGGGGCTGGAGCTGCTTCCGGTTTCCATGAAGACCCAAGAGGAGGCTGCATTTCTGGGGCTCCTTGGGGTGGTGCCCCGGTCCCATGGGGCTGGTGAGGAGAAACTGAGAGTCACCCTCCTGGATGTTGAGGGCAGGCTGAGAGGGAGTGGGCACCTGAGGGTCCCTGGCCCATCCAGACCCTTCTGCAGCAAAGGTGCCTGAGTGGGAGGGGCTGGGGACAGCCAGGTGGGGCTGAGGGCCCCGGTCGGTGAGGCAGGGGCAGTGGGGGCGGGTGGGTGGTCTGGGAGTCACTTTCTGGCTCTGCCACTTTCTTGGCGGTCCTGAGCAGTTTCCTACCACCCCCCCGAACCTCGGAGCTCTCATCTGCAAAGTGGGTGACCTTCCCCACATTTTGGAAGATCAGCTCACAGGGAGGCCAATGAAATGCTCTTTCCCTCGGGGCTCCCCCTGGTCAGGGGAAGTTTCTGTCCAGGGCCTGAAAGGAGGATCTGGGGACTGGCCACTTCCCTCGCTCCTGCTTCCCCAAACAGGCAGCTGAAGCTGGCACACCTGTCCTGGAGGAGGTGAGAGAGGCCCCACGTCTGAGCAGTGTGGGCTCAGTCACCAGTGGATCGGCCCCTTGGCCTCCCAGTCTCCTGGGATCCCGGCTCCAGACCTGCTGGGGTGCCGCGGCTTAGCCAGCACGGCTCCTGTGGGGCGTGAGGGTGTCAGAGCCTGGCTCCAGGACACGACCCTCGCTCAGACGTGGAGGGACAGGCTCTGTCATGGCAGAGACAGGGTGTCCCTCCCTCTCCAGATGCGGAGTCAGAACTCTGCTCCCTCGCAGAAATCAGAGAAGGCGCATCTCAGACGCCCTAGCCCGCGGGTGAAGACTCCCACCGGGGGTGTGGACGGTGGTGGAGCGTTGGTGACCATGAAGCTGGCGACCGCGTCTGCTATGCTCCGAGACGCCGGGCACGACTCAAAGCGTTCTGTGCGCTTCAGATCACTGGGTTCTCATGTTGCACAGAGGAGGCAGCGAGGGTGTGGGGCGGTGGTGCGACTCGCCTGCGGTGATGTCGCGGGGACCAGGCTGGGTCAGCCGAGCTGTGGGCTCCAGGTCCCTCTCCTAACCCCTGTGAGCAGGTGCTCCCGCCCCCACCCCCGTCTCTGTGTCCCCGGGCCCAGGGGTCCTTCCTTAGGGGACTTCGCTGAGGGGGACTTGCCCAAGGCAGGGGCTGACCAGCTGCTTCGGATGGGGTCGGCGGGGAGCTGTCCAGGTGCTGTAGGTTTGGGCCCCCTGGGAGACACGGCTGCGGGCCGTGGGCGGGGCTGCACGGGGTGGGGCGGGGCTTAAGAGGGGTAGGCGGTGCTGCCCTGAGGGGTGGCTGGGCCGAGCTGGGCGG